TTTCTTAAACATTAGATATATTGAAATACTCAAAATATATAATGCTAATCTAAGCCAATTTATCTGCTAAAATAATGATAAGTATTAAGCTTATTAGAATATTTAGTCAAGCTATATAACTTATAATATAAAGTTTTTTAAACTTACAAAATTATAGTTAACTAATTCACATTAGTTAGTTTTTTTTGAATCGGATTTATTTAAAGTTTTAGATCTTTTCAAGCAGCTTTTTTAGCATAATTTACTAGTGAAGAAGTTTAATCAATGTAATTAATTGAAGTGATTATTACAATTAATTAAGGTATTAATTTACTAAAAGCTTAAATATAGGTTTTAAATTTAGTCAATTAGTATTTAATTCTAAAACCAAATATTTTTTGTTATAACTTACTTGGTTTATTTAATTGCTAATTAATTGATTTTGTTACTTATTTATTGATTTAAGTGTCTGCCATTTTGTTAAAGATAATTAGTTATACTCTAAACTTATATTAATAATTTTACAATTAAATTCTAAATATATTTATTTATATATACTGAAAATAATTATTATAAAGCATATTTATAATAAAAAATAATAATTGAACAATCTATTTATTTTTACTATTGATTATCTTTTATTTATATCCCACTATTTTAATATTATTTTGATAACTATAACTAACTTGAAATTATCATTTGTCTCAATAAATTTGTCCTATTTGCTATAAATAATAATTATCTTTTGAATTTATAATTAAATATATATGCTTAATTCAAAAAAAAAAATTTAATGAAATAAAAGTTCTAATGAACAAAATAAACTAGACAATTTCTATTTTATATTTTTATCTATAGCTGAGTGAATAATATTATCTAACTCTATATAATTATCTTAATCTTCAATTATGTCTGCCTTCTTCTTTTTGTCTAACATTTCTATTCACTTTTGAAGAAACTCACTAAATTCTGCTTCCGAAATATAAGGCAAATCATATTATTTATTATTCTTATCCTTATTATCTTTATCTAAATGCTCATTTTGTGTTTCATCTAATGAATCAATTAGTATTACTATATGTTATTTAAGTTAAAGTAGTATTATCATGCATTATTTGAGTTAAAGTAGTACTATGTGCATTATTATGCATTGTTTGAGTTGTAGTATTATCATGCATTAAAGTAGTATTAAAAAAAGTAAAAAAGAGATTATCTGGTTTATAATGATGCTAATAAGTTATATCAGTATGTAATTTACTTATATTAAGTGCTTTTGGTGTCTAGAAAATATTTTTAAAAAAAATATCATAAAGGAAAAATTTAGAATTTTTATTAAATAAAAAAATTTAGATTTTTTCTTTGTAATACTTATTTAAAATATATAAAACGTATTAATAAGTACTGCAAAAATTTGTATAACTATTTCATATGCTTACTTTTAATCAACTTTGCCAATTTGTTTAAATAAAATCTATACAGCTCCACAATTATTCTACAGAAGCAGCATTTATACAAATACTAAAAATTCTACAAGTCTCAAGTTTTAATTCATCAGTTGCATCTTTGATATAACACCAATAAGATAAAACATCATCTTTAAACTGTTAATAAGTTTTATCATCAAAAGAATAATCTTTTATATAAAAATTATTAAATTCACAAAGAATACATTTTGGTTTTTGATCTGTTCATATACAATAATAATAACTTAACCATTTTTCAAAAGTAGAATATCTAATATTAACTGTTATGGCTTGAAATTGATTTAAGTAGGTGTGATGATCTAGTAAAGTGATCAGGTTATCAATCTTCCAAGTGGTAGTTTGGGTACTCAAATCCCATTAATAATGAAAATTTAAATAATTACCTATATAATATTTATATTATGGCAACTGTTACTAATAATTAGGTTGGAATATCTGTAATGTAATTGCACCAGCATGACTGACAGGTCATAGGACATCTGTGCAATGTTAAAGTTATACAAAAAAATGCAAACAGACAAATTAGACAGTGCAAACACTAGATAAGTTCTTGTAACTATATAAATTTGTTGAAATCGGATAACAAGAAGTCTATTTGGGAAGACCTGAATAGAAAGGTAGCTGGATCTTTAACAGTGCTACTGTAAAGGCTAGTCTGGAGAAACAGATACCTAGGTCTTAGTAACTAGACAGGCAAGAACCTTCAAGTTGGAAGTCTCAAAGGTATCGCCAACTAGGCTACTAGAATGAACCAGAAAAAAAGAATATTAGACCAATCTAATATACTAATAGACTAGTTGTAATCTTATACAGGCCATCTGAATTGAGAGTTTGATAAAATTTAAGAGTATACTAAAGTACTAAAGTTATGCTGTAAAGTATATGCTAGGGTTTAAGTAAACTTTACAAGAGCATAACAGTTTAATAGTTAAGTTTTAACTACAAGTGTTGGTTTTGCCATAGTAATATCTAGATTAGCTATAAAAATAGATACAGAAGGCTTTAGAAGGTTTACTTTGAGAATAAATTAGTCCTAAAGTTAAAACAATAATCTGAGCATCTAGGTATAACTTAGTAAGTTAATACAGATTACAGGTTTAGAGAATTTAAAGTAGAACATCTAAGCAGGAGTGTTAGATACAGCAATTGATAGAGAACCTTTAGGCAGACTTTTTAAATAAATAATATAGAAAAGTTATATATGTAGCCAATTGTACACTCTCCTGTAATGGTTTATTGAACTATAATATTGATAAGTGATTAATAATTATTTTAAAACCAAAAAAAAAATTAGTTTATCTGATATTTCAAATATAAAATTACTAATAATAATAAAATTGGCTATTCCCATTTATTTTAATATTATTCAAATCTTTTAATTAATTGTATTGCCAAAAAATTATCAGAATTTGATTTTCAAAATTGTACAAGATAAGCCATACTAAAAGTAACTTCAAACAAACAGGCTTTATTATGTTGAAGCATATTAAGTAACTTGCAATATGGAGTAAAAAGTTTAACTAAATCTTTAATTTGATTTCAAAAATTATTAAATTTAATAATTTCAAAAATTTTATAATAAATATAATTATCTTCTGTATAACAATAAGTTTCAAAAAAAAAATGGTTTAAATTTTATAGTCAAGATCTAAAATAAATATTAATTAATTTTTAAAAAATAAAATTTATTTACTAATAATTTAATATATTATTTCTAATGTTTCTTGTATATATAAAAGAGTTGTATATATAAAAAATAAACTGTTCTATTTAGTTTTAATTTTTTTTTTTTGGTGTTAAGATGACCTTTTTGGTCTTTTGACTTTTATTAATTACTTATCAGTATTGTGGTTTAATGAACTACTACAGAAGAGCATACAATTGGCTACATATATAACTTTTCTATATTATCTATTTAAAAAATTCACCAAAGGTTCTTTATCAATTGCTATACCTAACACTTCTGCTTGGGTGTTCTACTTTAAATCCTCTAAACCTGTAACCTGTATTAACTCACTAAGTTATATTCAGATGTCCAGATCATCATCTCAACCTTAAAACTAATTTATCCTCAAGATAAACTTTCTAGAGCCTTCTATATCTATTTTTACAGTTAATCTAGGTATTACTATAGCAGAACCAACACTTGCAGTCAGAGCTGATCATTAAACTGTTATGCCTTTGTAGAGTTCACTTAGACTCTAGCATTTATTTTATAATATAATCCTAGTACTTTAGTATATCTCTGTCTTTCCCTCTACCTTTTTACCAAACTCCCAATTCAGATAGCCTGTATAGAACTATGACTAGTCCATTAGTATATCGGGTCAGCCTGATATCCTTTTTCTTTAGTTCATTTTAATAGCCTAATTGGTAGTACCTCCAAAACTCTTAACCCAAAGGTTTTTGCCTATTTGGTTATTACAACTGGGTACTAGACCTTGATATTTGTTTTCTCAGACTAGCCTTTACAGTAAGGCCATTGAAGATCCAGCTATTTCTTTAATCAAATTTTCCTAAATAGACTTCTTGTTACCTAATTTCAATGAATTTATATGGCTACAAGGACTTATCTAGTGTTTGCACTGTCTAATTTGTTGATTTGCATTTCTTTATATAACTTTAACATTGCACAGATGCCCTATGACCTGCCAGTCATGCTGGTGCGACTGCTATTACAAGTATCCTATTCAATTATTAGTAACAGTTGCTATAATATAAATATTATATAGGTGATTATTCAAATATTCGCTGTCAATGGGATTTGAATATCCAACTTACCACTTGAAGGTTAACAATCTGACCACTTCATTAGGTTGCCACATCCCTTCTATTTAGTTTTACAAAAACAAAAATTGAATAAGTTTTACAATAAATTTCGAACTGCTAATTGTATAACTGACTAATAAAAAATTGGTTGTTAGCATTTTGAAAATATCTAAAGAGTTTAATTTCTTGATCAATAGCTTTTTTTAATAATAATGACTTTTTGAAAATTTCACCCACATATAAATTCAATTGATGAATAAAACATAGTAAAAAAACTAATGATCTTCTTAAAATTCTTAAACAGTATCTACAATTAAAAATACAATATAATTATTTGATTAGTAACTTTTAAAAATATATTAATTATCATATAATATAATGAAATCAGATTATTTAATTCTTTAAAATTTACTTAAACCTGTTTAATATAAATTCTATTCTAAAACTAGCCTTTAACCTTAACCTCTAACTCTAAAAAAAGCATTTATTTTTTGGTATACTATGTATATATATTTTATTTTAATCTGATTTCATTTTAATCTGTTATATTAATTATTTTGCAGCTGTATAAGCACTTGCACTATCAGTAACAATAGCACATACTTTAATATTCATTAACTCTAATTTAAGAAGCATTGATTCAGTTTTATTTATAACATCTTGATATTTTTTATACTTAGAACTAATATCAATGGCTTTTCAAATATAAGGTTTTCCTTTAGATAATAATAAAACAGTTCCTAAAAGATGCTTATTTTGCATAGTTGTCTAGCTGTTATATGTTAAAGTTATATCTATCTGATCTTTTTTTAAAGTAATTTTTATATTTTTGTTAGTATCATTAACAATTTTAGTTAAAACTTGATTGCTCAATGTTTGATGATCTGGAAGTATAAGAAGTAAATTTAAAAATTTATAACATTTTTTAACTTCAGGATTATTCATCCAAGATAAAGACCATCTACAAAAAACTGTTATTCTAAGCAAAAACTTATTAAATTTTTTAGCATTTTCTTTGATAAAGGCCAAACAGCATAGTTATCTATTGGATTATAAGGTTCTGAACAAACTACTATTTTTCAAGATGTATTTAAAAATTGTTCATTATCTAAAAAGAATAACAATAAGTAAATTTTATATTTACAAATATATATTATAATTTATATTAAATACATATATTTTTTTTTGTAGATAAATTGTTATCTGACATTAATTCAAATATTTCAACTTGTTTTTTAACTGTGGTTGCATTAAAAATATGTAGACATTTTTTTAAATATAATATAATTCAGTCTTTTTTATTAGAAAAATATGTTACTTTTTCTTTGCTTTCTTTCAGAGCATTGATATAATATTTGCAATAAGTTTGTAGATTACTCTGGTTAATTTTAATATTTGATTTTATAATACTGTTATTTAGTAAAAAAAGACAAGAGCAGCATTGTTAAGTCAATAAAATATAATAAAAAGTAAAAATGCTTCAATATATAGCTGCTGTTTTGTTATCATTATATATAATAAGTATATTAAAGCTATACTAGAATTTTTTTTTAGTTCTAGTTTTTTTATCATTATTTTTGAATATAAATTCTGTAAATTTTACAAATACTGCATGTTATTATTAAAATAATAATAAATGCAAGCTTTATGGATTTATAGAATTTATTGATTGAAAATAGCAATAATTATCCAACCAACAGATTAAAAAAATCTTGATTAATTATTAACACTAAATCCTTTATGCAAGATAAATATTAATTATACAAGTTAAATATATTTAGTATAAAAATTTGTTATGATTTTCACAGTTTAATTTAAATCTAATTTGTAACTAGTTGTTTTATTTTTTTTATTTTAATCAAAATCAATAGGTTTAAAAAATTTTAATTTACCAAGTTGGCCAAAATAGCAAAAGCATTTTGTAATAGCAATAATTTTATTTTGAAGTAAGCCAGAAAGATCATGTAAATTTTTTTGTTTTCTGTACTAATAAATCAGTTTTTATTCTTAGATTTTTTTTTCTTTTAACACAAGTATTAGTGCTACAAAAAATCCTGTCATAGGCTTTTAGTTATTACCAAATCTATAATTTATTAAAAATTATGTTCAGTACAAAATATAACTGAAAGCCCAATTACAGGTTTTTCTTTGGCAACATTTATACATTTTTAACATGTGAAATTATTCTGCTAAATTTTTAGATTTGTTTTTTTTTCTAACACAAGTGTTGTGCTACAAAGAAAAAACCTGTCACAGGCTTTTAATTATACCAGATTTGTGATTTATTAAAAATTGTATTATCTTAGCTTTAATCAATATATACAAATCTACTTCCTCTCAACCACCTTCTTTATTACAACCACAAATTTTCTTATCATCCTACGATGCTCAACTCATTCAACAACTTACCCACTCACCAATATATCAAAAACAATTAACTGATCTTAACTACCTTATTTCTCAACTTGATACAAATAAACTACACTTCTATACTGATGGATCAATCAAAAATCTTCAAACTCCAGATGTAAAATCTGGTATAGGATGGATTTGCAAATACAACACATCAATAAAATTCAATGCAGCTATACAATCCTATCCTGACTCAACTCGTACTGAACTCGAAGCAGTTCTTTACCTCTTACTTGCAGCCTCATCTAACACCTCTTTAAATATCTATATCGACAACACAACTGCTATTAAAAATCTTGAAAAACCTATTACTTCCAAACCTATACAAACTAAAAACTGGGATATCATCCATTATATTAACTATCTTAAACATCTTAAAAACATTAC